ATCTAAACCTTGTATATAATGATACTCCTAGTAACGTATAGACTTCAGGATTATTCAGCCCTTGCTGTGTACCCTCTGATAAGGAAATGGATAATTTTGGAGACACACAACTGTGGGCGTGTTTGTGGCTCCCAAGGAGCAAGTCACTGAAAATGGTCCAGCCCCAGAGCAGGAGCCGGATGTTAAATTAGCAGTATGGACAGCTTCGAGGAGCKGCTCATCTGCTCTCCTTGAGCATGAGTCATGCAACTAACGTCTTCTTTCCATCTCTGCTCCTGTGGTTAACCAAAAATATAAGATTTTTCCTCCGACTCCGAYGTGAAAAAAATTACTGATGTCGTTTATACGCTTTGCTATGTGTAACACGTTGTACAGCGGGAGGACAGAGGGAGAAATTAGATGATCCATCCCCCACGATACAATGTTTTAGCGAGATGCGAGAAAATTTATTGTGGTAGTACATCAGAAAAAAATAGTCAAATTGTAATCTCCTTTATAAAATTAATCCCCTAACTTAATGGATGCTTGCAAGAAGCCCCTCCTGTTTTTTCTTGTTCAAAACATTTACTTTATGTTTTGTTGCTTTTGTCCAAAAAATTTTTATATAAAGCTGGCACCAAATTCAAAATTAGATTTTTTTTTAAATGTACTTTTTGTTAAGTTTACGACGTTCCATATAAATAAATGAAGGGTTCATGAAATTAGAAAATTATTGCCTTTTACTTTTATTTACATTTTAAACAATGTCCCGATCGACTTTTTTCAGAATTGGGGTTGTGCAAAAGAGRAAGATATAGGCACACATTCTCACTCCAGCTGTAACAACAGAGTCTCCCAAGAGCCAGCAGGACATCTTCTGCTTTTAATGCAAGACAGGACGGGACGCATTTAACCAGATAAATCATTTCTCTTGGATGTGAGTAAGAGGCCAGATCAAACAGTGTGTCTCTGACGAGCATGCTGTCCTGTGCTTCACGGGTCAGGGAGTACAGCCGAGGAGACGAGTGTGTAATGTAACCACCGTGACAGGAGAAGACGGCGCCTGGTCATCGCTGGATGAACGAGTAAGAGAAGAAGGCAAAAAGACGTCAAGGCTGCTCCGAGAGACGGCTGACCCAGAGCAGTTCCTGTGAAGTAATACTTAGTAGACTTTCCATGTTTGCTTGAGACTAAAATGTGAGGTCTAGTTCGGAGTTTCCAGAGGAATGAGAAATTAATGATTCATTTGAAAGCTTACCCAACTCCGACTGGTAAGGGTGATGAGTGCAGGACAGTCTGCTGCTTTCACTTACGCTAATGGATCAACTGGTTAAAACTGTAAAACTGTTGCACTTTGTTCACAAAAGCGTTAAAACTGTAAAACTGTTGCACTTTGTTCACAAAAGCCTTTACATATTTCACTTTTGATTGGTGAATTATTATGAGTTGCATGTGTCTGGAGGAGAGACTGAAAAAGTAGCGTAAATGTTAAAAAAACATGTTAAAGAATTTATTCATGTTCAGGTCTTTCAAAATTGGGGTTTTGTGGTGATGTTCAAAGAAATCTCTTAACAGCTGCAGATAACTCTTTGAGCTTGAACAAAGAGTTTAATTCTGACTGGATGGATGAACTAAACGGCTAGTGTGAGCAGGGCTAAGACCAAGGTGGACTGCTGCTATCTTAAAACAAATCCAAACGTAAAGGATGTCAGTCAGGTGTCAGGTAATTAAAGGTGTGGGTGTAGATAATAAGGTTAACCGAAACTCAGTTAACATGTTAACTGCACACAGTGTGTGGAAAATCCTGTGAAAACCCATTAAATCACATAATTCAATGGCTATTTGCCATGCTAATAGCTATAGCAGCTAGCCGTGGCACCTCCAGAATTGGACGTTCTTTTTGACAAAATAATCATATCGTACGAAACTGACAATAATGAAACATGGCGGTTGTATAAGGTTGGACCAAGGAAGTGGAGACTGTCATGAGGAGCTTAGATAATAAGCTGAAGCTTAGAATAACAAAACCAAAACGCTGCTGAGGCAGCAAAAACTGTCAAAAATGACAGATCAGATGCAGGAAGGCACAAGGAGATTTGAGGAGGTACAGGGAAAACCGAACTTGACGTTTAAACACGTTCTGATCCACTAAGGAGCGAATGAAGGCTGAAAGGCTATAAGGACTGGGGCTGATGAGAGAAGTGGCTGCAGCTGTGAAGCAGGAGCAGAGACCGAGATTAACAGAAATACAGGAAGGTAATGAACACAAATAAACACCAAAAGTAATAAACATGAAAACAAAACTCAAACACTGAAAAACACTGATTGTGTAAAAAAGTTGATAAAATTGTGTCCAGTTGAACTTTCTTAACATTTTTTGAGGTTAGAGTTGTTTTGTAATGACAGCAATCCACTACCTTCATGTCAACTAGCCAATAGCTCATCAATCTGCTCAGAATGAAACTCTAATTCTCCAAACTGAAGTTGCTCAAATGCCTTTCTACAGAAGATGTAATAAATGTGCATCCCTTTTTCACAAAACACAATGTTAACTTTATTTTCCTCTATTCTTTTCCACTTTTTCTAATAAAAAGACTTTTTGATGTAGATGATGAACATTAATATCTCACTATGAATAGACTAAAAATGAAAGAATCTGCTGTTTGTAATTAGAGGTTTCACAGCTGGTGTCACTTATATTCAAACAAATCCAGAGTAAAAGAGTCCAAGCAGCTCTTCTTTTTTTTTCTTTTCAGTGTTCACTCATGAAGGGGTGTTATTGTAATGAAATCTTTTTCTCAAGTATGATAAAAACTTTTTGACCTAAATTGTAAAAATTCTTCAAGTCTCACAAATCTCCAAATTCACTTTTTCTCCATCTTAATTAAACTTCTTCACTTTTTGCTTGAGAAAAACTGTCATCGTTAACAAACTGCRCATTCAGAAATCATTTCCACACATGGACTGCAGTCCTGAAAAGTTTGGCACTGAATGTTGGCAACGTTTGATCTGGATTTCATGGTGGTATTTTTTTTTTACTGAGACTCTCAAATCCCGTCTACTTTACTCTGGATATTCTTTAAAAACGCTGATTTTCTGCATCATTTGCGTCTCCGATCTGTACACATGATTTGGATTATACTTTCCAGGCAACGAACGTGCTGAAACACCCATCTGAAGCTGGAGTCACATGCTATAAAATCACACAGAAACAGTTTTTACTTTATGCAAGTCATACATCCTGGGGATATGAAGATCAAAAAAATCCCCACCTTGTCAAGTTTATGTTTGCCGCAGGTTTTCACATGCACAAGGACTTGTTTTTTTTTCTTTGGTCTCCAAGTTTTTGCAGCTTTACAAATCTGTCAAATGACCACTGATGAGTGAAGTGATTCTGATCATCCTTATGTTTTATTTGTTTTATACAATGTCTAAGATTTTCTTTCATACAGCACTTTGGTTCAGTGTGTCTAAAGTGCTTTAGAGATAAAGTTGGGTTGATTTGAATTGTTTGTCTTTGTGTGTTCCTCGTACCAACACTTCCCTCTTCTGTCAGTTTCAGCTTCTCTGCTCCACCTCCACCTTCTCCAACCTGGTCCCAGTCTGTCTATATATCTCTTCACTTATTATTCACTCACCATTTAAACATTATGCATTTTAGATGCAATGTCTGGTTCAACCAATTGGTCTCCTTGTGTCCCTCGTAATTATTACCTCCACCAAGGAGGTTAGTTTTGGAAAGTCCTCGTTTGTTTGTCTCTTGCCAACTGTGATGCAAAAATGTTCACCAAGCTTGCAGATACCAGCCTGAAAGGATCTGAAAGCAAACCCATTCCACAGTGACCCCTGATGGTCTAGTACCATCCAGGACATGTTCTTCTTCCATGGTAACAAGAGGAGGTCTTCCTCAATTTAACACACATRGCAAAATTTGTCCGGTCCAGTTCTGGCATGCCCTAGATTCTGCAAAGAAYGATGGCCCTTTGATGGTCCTTAGATGTGGTTCATCAGAGGTGGTCCTTGCATGRGCCAGCACCACAAACCATTGATAGATTTGGGCAGTCAGCCATCAATGCCAGCTTGACWCCARATTTGGCCATCACTTGTCTGCTATGTGGGATTGTCTCATTGTTATTGCTAATTAGAGCTAATCCCTTTATTAAAAACAGTTTATTGGTTAAAGAGTAAGAAAGTTGGTGTAAGTGAAAAATTTCTGTACTGTTTTCCAATATACAAGATCCTTAATGACTAAACTCCCTTCATATCTTAGAGATCTCATAGTTCCTTGTTTTTCAAACAGAGCATTTTTCTTTACAGATTTACTTATAGTTTTTTAAATTCTGATGTTATAACAGGAGGTAGAGCGATCAGCTACCAGGTTACTCTTCAGAGAAACCAGATTAAATCCCAGAAGTTGTTCAAATTTAAGATTTTTTCTTTCAAATCTTATAGTGAGAGTTTCAGAATGCCCTGTACCATCCCTTCAGTTATGCTCCTGCAGGATTAGGTTTTCGTATTCATACCTGACCTGGTGCTTTTTGTGTTGGTCTTGTGTCACCCCCAACAGGAAGAGGCAGATTGTTGCATCTCCTAAACTGTGTTATGCATACTTAAAGGGACATTTCAGATCATTTGCAGTGGGGCTCTGGGGAAGAAGAAACTGTTAGGTAGCTTCTTGAACAATCTCCTCAAGTGCTAGCTGCTTCTGCCACTGTTTGCTTCCTTAAATAACCACTGAAATTTCTGCAGATTACAGTGCATTATGAAACTGTGTAAAAGTAATAATGCAAAAGTTTACAACATAGAACATCGATCTCGTCTGAATCGCTGAGGTTGTTCAAAAAGCGGCAATATCTTCAATAGGTAAGATGAAAACTGTCTAAAATCTTTCCACTAAGCCTCACTTGGATAAAACCTTAACTGTAGATGGTGTTTTAGTTGTGTAAACTGACCTATATTTTCCTCAGGTTAGTCAGCCAACACCACTAATGCATAAAATTCCTGTTTATCGTTAAACACACCCTTTGTTGAGCTTCAATAAACGCCTTTTCTTCCTCCTGTTTCAGCATCCCAGTCCTCCTCCTCCCATATCCAGTCCTTTCTTTTTGTCCCTGCAGGCAGATCACATGAGCACTTTTTTTTATTGTTTGGGTCAGAGGTTCAGAGTCAAACAGGACCATGGCCACATGATTAAAAAAAAAGGAAAGGGGATAGATTACAGAGTATGGATTACCTTTCTGGCTCCGGATCATTGTGTGGGGTGGTGATGTCACTCGTCAGCCAGGCAGCAGCATCAGATGGGGTGGTGATACCAGCAGGGATCAGGTGCACGGAGACAGCGTTTGTCTCAGACTCTGCTTTCATATGAAACTGCAGCTTCTGTGCGACGTTGTGGTTTTTGTGCACCAGAACCGCCGCCCGCTCACCTTTTCTTTTCAACTTTTTCTTTGCCGCGACTCAGGGGGTTTCTGAGTGCGTGGCCCCCTTTGAGACCAGTCTGACCTTTATGCAAAGTCCCTGTCTGCGTCCCCCGTCAGTGCAGCCATTTATCGCCCAATGCCCCCTTTATGTGAGTTGGATTTCAGAGGCGCGAGGCAGGGAGTGTGACTAGCGGCATGACAAAAAAATGAGTGGGATGTCTGGAGGACGGGGAGGGGAGGGGGGGGGCTTGGCAGAACAGAATCAGAGAGTGTTGGTGCGACACAAAGACGAGAGCGGCAACTGTGCCTCTCTGCAGCTGTGGGGCCTACGTGAGCATCGGCAGGAACGCTCTCCTCGTCTCTCCGCCCCTCCCTCGCCCGATCCCTCCACTCTCTCTGTCGCCCCCCTCCTCCTTCCCTTTCCTTCACTCATTTGCACCTTCGAATAGACTTTTGAGGGCCCCCCGCCTCCCTCCTTTGTGYGAATCCTTTCTTCTCATTATCTCAGTCATAACTCCCTCACTTTGCTCATGTGTGCCAAACGACGCGAACGATGGACGAGGGTAGAGACGGATCTGTGTTCGGCCAGCCAAACAGACATCCGAGCCGGGCGAATGAGGAAGAAAAAGGGAGGCAAAAGATCCCGTTTCCCCACACATGCACAGACACACAACCGGTTTGGCCTGAAATGACCTAGAAGGGGAAAGACACACATGTGCTGCTTGTGAGACACTTTTTATGCTGATGTGTGTCAACACGTGACTCCACTGCAGCATCTTTAAGAGGGCATGAAAACGCAGGCCCAAGGTCAAAGGTGACGGTGGCAGGATTGAGCAGAATGAGGAAAGGGGGAAAAAAGAAAGGGGGTGGAGCAGGAGGAGGAGTAAACGATGAGGAGACCGAGCGAATACAATGAAGACTTGACAGAATCAAGGACAAATTACAAAAGGAGACGAGTTTATACATTGTAGAAGTTGCGCACAAACGGGCGAGGTGATGTCAGAGGAGAGTAACGAGATAAAGGAGCAAACTGAAAGGACTGATTGTCCTTGTGCCACTGAGCAGGTGCATTTTTTGGCAGCGGATGGGACCGGATGGCATCCGCACAGGACGAAGAGCAATGCTGACCTCTGCTGGCTCCAGAACAAATGCACAAARATTCGGTGCTGGACTGAAGAACACACAGAGCCACTGGAAAATAAAGTCAGCAGAAATAAAAAAAAAAACAGCATTCCTTAACTGAAAAGCATATTGCCCAACATTTGGCATGGAAAAAAGTCTCAAACAGAGATCTTGTGAAATCTGTTAATGCTCAAAACCGTTTTTTTTTTTTTTCATTTAATTCATGTTGGGTTTTTGCGTAAAACATGAATAAAAACAGAATATGATGATTTGCAAAACCTGTTCAACCTATATTCAATTAAATACCCGACAAAGACAAAATATTTAATGCTCAAATGGATAAACTTTATTGGTTTTGTTATGGTAATATTTATTTAACAAAGACAGAAATAAGTGGTCCAAGAATGAAGGTACTCTGTGAGATGATCAGCTGAGTTTTATTRCAACARCAGGAAACACAGAGAACAACCTGCCCTGTCTCTGTGCCTCTGCTTCTCTCTGTCACTGTCTCTCCACACTGCTGTTGCACTCTGTTGAACCCTGTGTCTCGAG